TCTACATGATATTGAAAAGTATTGGTTAGGACAGATTATTGAATGCCTCATAAAATAAGTGAGTGGGCGACAGCTTCTCTAACAGACAACACCTCAATATGAGGTGCACTCAACAAGTTAAAATGCGCACATGAACGTTTGATAAAGCATTGGTGTATGGTAGTATGTCCCCCCAGCCAAGCATGCCAGATGACAATAAGTGAACCAAACCACTGTGACCTGGGCTCTGTTACAAGTGAACAAGACCAATTTGCTTTCAAATACAATGCACGTTACACACAAAACAAATACAGAGCTTGACTTATGCCAAATACAACATAATGTAATTTATATCCCTCCAAGCCAGATAATATAAAATGATGATACACAAAATATCTCTGGTCTTTCAATTCTTAAATAGTGACATCACTCATGTCTGATTTACATGTACTCCTGATTTAACTTTTTTTTTTAAATACATACATATAAAAAAAAAATTCTTCCTAAATTGTTGATAAAATGCACAATTCAGAGTTCACATTTACGAATATCAGTTTGTATAAATATAATTTGTGCTGTAGGAAAAAAAGTTCTATAAGACATAAGCAATAAACATGTCTGTCATAACAACTTACAATTTGTTTTAAAAGTTTTGATGACAAAATTAGTTTCTAACCTGATCATTACTTCTTTGTTTTTAAACAAAACAAACATTTAAGCTGAATGAATTTTTTTTCTTCAAATGTTTTAGAATATCTCAAACTGTGAAATAAACTTTTTTTAAAGTTAAGGAAAACTGTTCTTTGAGCTAGCACAAAACATGAGACATGATAAGTTATAATTTCAAGCCATTCAGAAAATAGAAAGCTTTTTATTATTTTTTTTTTAAACAAACTAAGCCAAATGATGAGAGTACAACAAATGGCAAATCTATACTGCATTAGTTCATTCACAAATTCTGATAGTCACCTCGCCTGGATATGCGCTGTTCACAAGTTGTGTAATAGTCTCATATAGTTCATATAGTACATAGTTGTGTTAAAATTGTTAATATAAATTTCAACCAAACATAAACCACTTATGCTACTTTGAAAACAAATCTCCACTTATGTACATAAATAGCATTGTTTGTCACCGGACAAAGCAATCAAAGGGAAGGTAACTAAATGATGGAAACACTCATAAATAAAGATATGGATATGTTTTAGTTGTTCACATTAGCCCTCCTTCCCACTAAAAATGTGAGTGGCCAGAGAAAGTTCTGCCGCCTAGAACAAAAACAAATATTGGATCAACATGCTTAGCTGTTTTCAAACTTTCAACTTCAACACACTAAAACTAATAAACAAATTTGCTTCCTCAAAACAAATGATTGAGTTTTTTGGTTTTTTTAATTTCTCAATCATCTGTTGTGAGGAAGCAAATAGTTATATTTTATTTTAATTATATTTTCATCTTAAATTAAGGGTAATATTCCCCCCCCCACCCCTTAAACCACCCCAAAAAAAACAATTTGTTTTAACGGAATTTTTAGTTGTACATACAGAAATCTCTAAACTGTGTCTCAACATATTTTAATTTCTCAATCATCTGTTGTGAGGAAGCAAATAGTTATATTTTATTTTAATTATATTTTCATCTTAAATTAAGGGTAATATTCCCCCCCCCCACCCCTTAAACCACCCCAAAAAAAAACAATTTGTTTTAAAGGAATTTTTAGTTGTACATACAGAAATCTCTAAACTGTGTCTCAACATATCTGCTGACACACTAGAGTGAGGATGAAAACAGCTGAACAAGTGTAAAACTAGTTAACAATAACTGGACCTGCTGCTCAACATGAACATGTCTGGCAGATGCTGCCTCAAGCAATTACAGGCCCACCCGTCCCATAGATATAAACACAACTGTCTTTAACTGACAAATAGAACATCATTCGAATGGTTACTAACATAGCTGCTAAGACCTGACATCAGGCCATCAAAAAAAAGGTTAAAACTGAAATGTAAAAAAAAAAATGGCGATTCAATTCAGATTAATAAATACAAACAATAAAAGTCACTGGAGGAAACTGAAAGTATTGCACAAGAAACAAATTGACAGCCATGGTCTGCTAGACCCTTAATACAGTGGGATTACGGGACTGGATTACTTTCCCTCAAAATGCAACAAATGTGGGGGAAAATGCACATAAACTGACAGGATTTTTAGCCACTTCTGCTTGTCTCTGTTAATTAATTTTCAAATCAGGTGGAATACATGCACATTTTTTTGTTCAAAGAGTTTTTTTTTTTAATGATTTAACTTAATTAGAAATTGATTTTATATGTTCATACAATGTAGGTAAATAAACATAAAAATCTGCTAGCCACTAGACACCATATCAGAATATATATTTTAATTTTCATTAGTAATTTGTGGCCACCTTTCTTCATTTGAACATCTAAAAATATCCGTCATTTAAAAATGAGACAGTTTAGTTCAAGTAGAATATTAGATGTATGCATAGGAAACGTCAGAGAACTGAGGTGATTAACCGGCTTAGAGCAGGGATGGGAAACCCTAAGAGTAGAGAGCAGCACGGAAAATAATTTTTCTTATGGTGCCGCATGACATTTATCTAGGAATCTAGAGCTTCAGTTTTAATAAGTCATTTAAAATGGGCTTCGAAAATTCACTCCGTGTTCTGTTAAACAATAATCAGTGAAATAATTTTTTTTTACGTTTCAGCTGGCTGCATGTGATCTGCGAGCTGTAGGTGGCCTCCCCCTCCCCACCCTGAAATTTAGGTTTCAGAAACTGACAAAATGTTAGTGAATATTATGAATTCTATGAACACACCTTGTAGCAAAATGAAAACAAGTTAAAACCATGGCACAGAACAGGTGGTGGCATCAACCATGGCACAGAACAGGTGGTGGCATCAAACTAATTAAAACCATGGCACAGAACAGGTGGTTGCATCAACCGTGGCACAGAACAGGTGGTGGCATCAACCTAGTTAAAACCATGGCACAGAACAGGTGGCATCAACCTAGTTAAAAAACATCAATAAACAAAAAACTTTATCATGGAAAGAAGCAGTGGCATGGGCCAGTAATTTCAAAAGTACAAAAATTTATTTAAAACAGGAGAAGGAGCTATAGGCTTGTCTCAAGCCGCACCTCTCCAAGTTATTAAAAAAAAATCCAAACAACCAACAACAAAAATATAAGGTGAATGATGACAGACGGACAAAGAGTAAATCATGATTAAAATATACAAACTTGAATACTCTGAAACATAAAAGGAAAAAAATGTATCTATTTTTTTGCACAAATGTTCTTCCGTGAAGGTCACAATATTACATAAATGGCCGACATGCATGTTCAAGAATATTTACATTCACTTAATAAATAAATAATGTATAAATAGAGAATTTTCGCTAGCCCTTTGCAAAGCATTTTTAAAAAAATAAAAACGTAATAAAGTGTGTCCCCAAGGTAATTATAATGAAAACTTTAATTACTGCAGGTTTTTGAGTTGCAAGATCACTGAGGTTTTGTTGACTCTGAATTCCCTCATCCCAGGTAGCTAGATGCGCTTTTGGGAGTTTTGCTCTAAGTAAACATCATCTTTGAAATAAAGTTTTAAGAATATGCTAATCCAGGTCAAAATAGGTCAAGGGTCACTTGAGGCCAGGGGTCACTTCAAGTCCAAACATTGATGGGGGAAAACAACTGTTTGTGATGACCTTAAATACAGTGCTAAATGTATTTATAAAACACATGCACACAGACCAGGCACTTGTTGTCTTGAATACCTTCTAGTAAACCTGGTACAGGAGGGCCTGTGCGTTGGATATAATCAGCCATTTCAAATTATTTCCAAAACACACAGACCGGGCACTTGTTGTCTTGAATACCATCTAGCCAACCTGGTACAGGAGGGCCTGTGCATTGGATATAATCAGCCATTTCAAATTATTTCCTAAACACACAGACCGGGCATGCCAGGATACTAACTAGGAAAATCAAAAAAGTTAAACTGTTCTGAAGTATCTGACATCTATTTCACGCTTGCATTTCTTTAAAACTGATGACAGTGTATATCAGCACTATGCATACATTTCTCACTTTCTAGTTTTAATCCTAAACACAAATATCTTACTCTATCTGATAATCAGATTAAAAATAATTAACAGATGATTCTAAGTTTGAAAATTTTTGTTGTTTTTTTTTTAAAGAAAAAAAATCATCTGGGCACATTTCACTGCCAGAGTTGTTGTTTACATTGTCCCAAAACTATTTTATTAGTCTTGTGGTATGCATCTGCAGTAAAAAAAAAAATGTATTCCCAAAACCATTTTAGTCTTGTGCTACTGCGACGCATTACAGTATAAAATAAAATGAGAGAGAATCAAAATCCAATTAGCCTGTTGAGTTTTCACATAATGAAACAAAACAAAACAAAGGAGATATAAGGCTGGCAATGTCTTATGTGGTGATGATGACAAGATGTATACTGTTTAGGTTAATTCTTGCCACATGTAATAATGGCATGATGGTAAGTAAGGGGTTGAAAACAAAATTTATGATAATAACTTGAATAATAACTTAAATAATAACTTCATGAAGACAAGAAATTCAAATTTGAAAGATCACAAATACATACAAATTTAAATTACAAAGCAAATTTAAAAAAAAAACATGGAGTGATATGAGGGCAACAGCAGAGATGAGATCAATCACAATGATATAGTACATGAAAACATAAACATCCTTTGACCTGAGAAATATCTCTGGGATGATGAGAGTTGGTCACATGTCCAGTGAACTGAGATGTTGCAGAACCCCCACCCAGGCCTTATTGAATGGCTGGTGCTGGAGACCGGTGTTGCAACTTTTCAATCAGTCATCTGTTAAACATTCAGCTGATGCAATGCTTTCAACTGAAGGTTGAGTCCTAGCTGTATGCCAGACCATCAACTCTGTCCATCCCTTCAGCATTACTTAATGCTAGAAACACTCATCCTCCCCCCCCCCCAAAATGCCAATCTGTGTGTTTACATTCATGATAAATTGTTTAAAGTTGTGACATAAGTGATGTTAAGCAATTCCTCAGACTGCCAACCGAGGTATTCAAGGCAGATAACTCCAGTTTGATTATTATTTTACATCATGATACTTCAACATTTCTTAAAGCGAGGCCACAATTATTGCCACACTTAAAAACCAACAGATGTGTGAAGATGTCAGGCTATATTAAATGAAAAAAATGTACAAAAATCACACTCCGCTGTTTAAGACCTAATATTGGTTCCATTATTAATGATAAGGAGGAACAAAAAAAATCAGTACTAAACTGCATATTATGTTTCATGGTAAAAGTTTCTCTTGTTATATGGCCCCCACCCTCATGCACAACAAAAATATTAGTCCTCAAAAAGAAAAGATGGCTGGACAAATAAAGGTGCAGGTTGATTTAATACCCTGTGTTAAGGGGCCAAACATTGTCTGTTGCTAGATGATAAAAACTGTTGTGATTTCTCCTCTCTGTTCAAATCCCACATACATTCCTCTGAACAGCTGTGCTGATCAATTTAGTTGTGGGCATGTCAAGATTGGCAGGACAGAGTGATTGCCTATTACACCTACCGTACAGGAGACCCAAGCCTCTTCTCCTCACCCCCACCTCACACAACTGTGAGGTAAATGACAGTCTCCAAAACCAGCCGACAATGCACAAATTGGTTGATCATGGTCCCCTTGATGTGAGAGTCCGAGTTAGCCATTGGCCTCTGCTATAATCTGTGGTAGATTCTTTTTTAACTTGAAATACGACTCGAACCTTGTTAATGCGTAGGCCTGATTGATGATGAAGATAACAAAAAAATTATAAGTTAACAATTGATTATGTATATTTAAAATCTCAAAAAAAAGTTTAAAACAAATATTAAATTTTCATGATCTGAGGATTTAAACCTTATAAATCACCTTGGTTTTGTAACATGATTTTTCTTTAATAACTTTCTTTTTTTTCTTCTTTGTTTCTTTACAAAATAAAGTCAATGCAGTTTCAATAAATCAATAAAAATTAAAGCTCTTAAAGAAATAACTAAGAGCCGGACTATGATAAAGGTAAAAAGGTTTAAAAGATTCGGGTACAATGGGTAGCGAGAGAGAGAGATTGGCTTTACTAATCGTAAATATAAAGCAAGTTAGGTTTCATGTAAAAGCATTCCTCACCATTCAGGAGAAATGCACACACACACACACTACAAATTAACTGAGCAGACAGCCCAGCATGAGTATGTTGGTTAGGAAAAGAAGTGTTGCGAACACCATTCATTCAGTACCAACTACTTGTACACCACCTGGGGCATAATGAATTCTTCCTCCAGATTTAGGGAATGCTACTTTTTAAATTACATGTGCCAGTATATTATATTGACATTTTTATATCGTGAAACGTTCACTTTGCTTTGTCATTGGTAGAGCTTCCCCCTAACTTTTTTAACACATCTGAATTTTCTTTAAACACTTGTTTTGTGTGCCTCCTGGCTTCCAAATTCATTTTAAAACTAGATAGTGAATATTAAATTTTAATTTAACAATGAATTTGCAAGACAGGAATGGCTATCATCCAACACATTGTAATTTTCATGCCTTTTTTTTACAACTGTAAACATTTTATCATTTCAAATAAATACTAAAACCTATTCTAACAAATCTCATCGATGCACTAAGTCCGTTTGAAGCACCCAACAAAATTGTGTTGCATGTTTAAAGAAAATAATTTATGTCGTATTGAATGAAATTCCCCTTTTCACTTCCCAAATAATTCCTGGGCTTGGCAGGCACGTTGGTGTTTACAGGTGAGACCACACAGGGAATGCATGTTCCACTGACCAGTCTCAACAGGTGAGACCACACAGACAATGCATGTTCCGCTGACCAGTCTCTACAGGTGAGACCACTCAGACAATGTATGTTCCACTGACCAGTCTCAACAGGTGAGACCACACAGACAATGCATGTTCCACTGACCAGTCTCAACAGGTGAGACCACACAGACAATGCATGTTCCACTGACCAGCCTCTACAGGTGAGACCACACAGGGAATGCATGTTCCACTGACCAGTCTCTACAGGTGAGACCACACAGGGAATGCATGTTCCACTGACCAGTCTCTACAGGTGAGACCACACAGGGAATGCATGTTCCACTGACCAGTCTCTACAGGTGAGACAACAAGCACAGATGTAAATCATCTATTTTTAACTTTTAATAGCTCAAGCACTAGCAAAGAAATATTCTAAATTTGGGATAAATAAAAAAAGAGGGAGAAAGGCAGGGGATTAGAGTTTTGTAATACAGAAGGGGATCAAATAACCAGAGCTCGGGGGCTTGAGATGATGGATTGGCCCCTAACAGCAAGCATTTAATAGGTTATCAGCAACATAACACAGCCATTCATGCAGCTCTCAGTTGCTGCCCTACATGCGTTAGTTTATGTAAATTGCAATATGCTTAGGATTTGTATCAGAAAGTCCAAACAGAAACCCAATTAAAAACATGACATGTATAAAGTCTAAGAAACACTGCCTCTTGAAAGCAAAATAAGTCATGTGATCGTTTTATTTCTTTATCTGTTTGTTAAAGGCTACAACTTACAACTGCAAGACTGCCGTCATAAATTATATATTCTCTTATGTAATGATACCAAGAAAGTTGGTTTGTTATTTTTCAATATTATTTTTGGCTTGTAATAATAATGGGTGTAGCCTTGATGAAATCTACCATAACCTCATCACAATCAAATACAAGGTCTCTAGTGTTAAAAGGACTAGATTTGACTATTGCACAAATAGACTTCAATAAGGATCAACAATTATCATATGCATGTGCCACTTAAAATCGGTTAACTACATGGGAAATCAACCTTCAGAAGTACAGATACAGACAACAGAAATCAACCTTTAGTAGTGCAGATGTAGACAAGGGAAATCTATCTTCATTAGTACAAATACAAACAGGTGAGAGAAATCCACCTTAGGTAGTTCATATTCACAGACATGGGAAATCATTTGGTAATAGAAATACTGTCAACCCATTTCATGCCATCACCAAAAACCCAGCTCAGAAAATAAGAAGGATAAAACGAAACCAATAAAAACATGCATGGGAACTCACAGAGTAATCTATTGGTGGAGCATAGCTCTGCATGGAGAAACAACAAATGTGGAAATAACATCTTCTATTTACACAAAGCTAATACATGTAATCTCCCCTCAGCATTCCACTGTTATGGAATGGCATCAGTAAGTGGGCCCACACAAGAGAAAATTTAGGTAGATAGTACATCTAGCAACCATGTGATCAAATTAGATATTTAATGCCATCAAAATGAATTTTGTAATAATTCATCTTTTACTAATGTACTTACAAAATACATTTATTTTTTAGTTTCTTGGATGGTTTCCATGTATCAATGCACTGTTCTATTCAGTGATTAATTATTACATTTTTTTTATCGACAGGTGGTGTAAGATGTCCTATAAACCATTTATTTTAGCTAAATTATTTCAAAGCTTATATGTAGGAGTTGAATTTTTTAACTTTCCATAAGAGATAATGATAATTTTTAATTTTTTTTTAATGATTTTAGAAAAACACATAAACAAAGGCATTGGGAAGAGACATTTGTCCTACTTAAAATAATTGTGATGACTACATTCATTTGGCAGAAGCTCAAATGAAAAAAAAATAAGGAGTTTAATAAAAAGCTTTTCGCTATAAAATAAACATAATAGTATAACAAAACAAAAAACTTCAGCAAGGATAAGTAAAGGGAAAACTTACAGAGTAATCAAAGTCGATGCTGGACGTCTGGGCTTGTACCATGGCCCACACGCCCCAGGTGAAGTGAGAGTGAAGAGCCAAGGTGTTTGTTTCTTTGTAAATGCTCGTAAGGTCCGCCTTTGTTATCTCCTCTTTACCCGAGGCCCTGAGGTACGAGCGGAAAAACTGATACTGAAAATTTAAAAAAAAAAAAAGTTAAATCCTAGAAATCAGCATTATGTTTTATTTACATTTATCAGCATTGGTGAACTAAAGACGTTTCGAAGCAGCCTGTAAAAAATAACTTGCCAGTGTTTTTCTGTGACAAACAGTGTTCTTCTTTAAGTGGAGAGGCTTACCCACTTTTTATAAAAATCACATGAGCTAGAAGTGTGCAAGTATTTTAGTTTGGCTTATCACATTAAATTCACGAAATGCTACATAACTCCAATTTGGTATACAGCTTTTAGTGCCAAGGTCCTATTAAATGTAACAAAAATTTGTTGGATCGTATTCTTAGGAAACACAATTTAGTCAGTTCTCAAAACAAAGAAATATTTTTCTGCACATGGGTAAACTTATGAATTAAAAAAGCCATCATCTTTAAAGAACAACTTTCTGCACTATCTTTGAGGAAGATGTAACGGTGAGATTTTATCCATTGAATCTAATAATGTAAGTCCTACTAAATTTAAGTGTCATCTTGACCTATAAGGCGCATTCACAACCATGGTGGTGAAGTTGAGGAGTTTTTGTCAGAGTAGGCACAAGACAATTGTGGTCACTGTCAGGATCAAGAAAATAAATATTTTTTTCCCACTCCAGAGCCCATTGGACCAAACACATTTTTTTTTTGCTTTATGTATGTTTGACTACCAATTATTACTAAAATTGTTGATTAAAAATAAAAATAAAAGCTAATAGAAAACCAGTTGGACCAACCTGCATTTCTTTAGAAGGATAATTGGCAGCCACCCACTCAAATCCAGGCTGACCAGCCATGGAATAGTCAAACATCCACTCATTGAAATGGTTGCCTAAGTCAAACCCTCTGAGGAGAACAAAAAAGTTACTCAGCTGGATATCTGAAAACAAACAGTTCTTCTCAACTAGATCAGTGGTTCCCAACATGTGCTCCTTAGGGCTCTAAGGGCTTGGCATGCACTTCTCAGGGGTTATGCCGCCGCTCCAGGAATAAAATAAAAACCTTAACATCATTAACTTGTAAGACATTGGGGACTTGTAAACTTGTAAGACATTGGGGACTTGTAAACTTGTAAGACATTAGGGACTTGTAAACTTGTAAGACATTGGGGACTTGTAAACTTGTAAGACATTGGGGACTTGTAAACTTGTAAGACATTGGGGACTTGTAAACTTGTAAGACTTGTAGGCCCAGGGGGGGGGGGGGGGGCCCCCCATCAAATTTATTCTAAATAAGATTCACGAGTCAAAACTTTTTTGAACCACTGACCTAGATTATTGAAATTTGTTGCTTCAGATTACAAACTTCATGTGACGGAAATAAATTTTAAATACGTAGACCTTACTTAAATATTAGCTGAATAATAAAAAAAAAATAGCTTTAATATACAGATAAATGTTACCTATAGTTATAGTGGCCATATTCCCAGTCGATGATAGTCATTCTTGGTGTTAAAGGTGTAGCCTTCTCAGCCAGCAATATATTTCCTGGAGAAATTTAATTGATATAATGTAGCTACCTGACACTGAGTTCAAGTACTATTCAATAGGGTATGATCTTAGAAGTACTGCACAATAGTATGTGATCTTTCAAGTACTACACTAGAGTATATGATCATTCAAGTACTACACAATAGTATATGATCACTCAAGTACTACACAATAGCATATGATCACTCAAGTACTACAGACTAGCACATGATCACTCAAGTGCTACACAATAGCACATGATCACTCAAGTACTACACACTAGCATATGATCACTCAAGTACTACACACTAGTATATGGTCTTGCTGGTATATTAAATCTCAGTATTTCAAACTAACGTTTTTTTTTTAATTATTAAGAAGGCAAAAATCTCTACTGAACTGATCATGTTGTGGCTAGTTTTATTTAAAAACCTCACTAAATAAAAGCATGACTTGGGTGTTACTCTTGATCGGTGAAATGATTGCCTTTAGTAAAACTCAAAACTCAAGACAAAATGATTGCCTATAGTAAAACTCAAAACTCAAGACAAAATGATTGCCTATAGTAAAACTCAAAACTCTATACAAAATGATTACACATAGTAAAACTCAAAACGAGACGAAATGATTGCCTTTAGTAAAACTCAAAATTCTATACAATCTCTAAAACACTATACTATAAAAAAAAAAGGGGGGGAAGAAAAAAAAACCCTTGCTGTTACCTCCTTGTAAATCGTTGTGACAAAACACAATCGGACAATTGAGGTCATTGGCAGTTTTTCTGAAAGATTATAAAAAACACAATTAATTTAAGAAATGAAATAGCAGACAGATGAGAATAACTCAAAATAAATTCTTGATTCGATAGTCATTTTAAAGTCTAAATTCAATACAACAATCCAGCTACAAAAAATTAATTATAAAAGAAAAAGAGGTTTAGTAGCAACAGAATTTTTTTGAGCATCAGCATCACCATGGATTTTCCTTTACAGTATAGAAAATAAAAAGGGTTAAATACTCCCCACCAATAACAAACGCCAGTTTTAAAACAACTGATTTCAATTTAATTAAAAATATTTTTCAAACTGGTTAACCCCCTTTAAAACAATATTACCTTATGTTTGTTTTTTGTTTAAGAAAACTTACAGCAGTTCATTGAACTCTGTGTCCATATCGAAGGATGGACTCATCTTGAGAAGTCGAGCAATAGTGGTGCTGTTAGAAGCAAAGTTGTTCTGTATATCTTTGATCCATCTGGATAATGAAAAAAATCATCGTTTTATCAGACTGACAAAACCAGATTCAATTTATGAACATATCTGTGTCATTGCTGGTCATAATAATAATAGTAAGCCTTAAAGAAACAAATTTAACCCTGCTTACCCTCTAACCAAACTCTTAAACCACCTTGGTTTTTTACAAAGTGGCATGTCCAGGCTGTGGAATTGTGCTAATTTTTCCGCAACCATATCCATAACGTCTGGCTTGCGGAGATCATCTGGCTTTAGAGGTCGTGCCTGAAATTGAAAAATGATATTAAATCTTTATACTGAAACAATTTCCTTTCAAAATCAAGTCCGGTTTAATTCTACAGGTGGTAACAAATAATTTTTTCCGTGACAGAGGCGTATGACTTAGCAGGTTTAATTGGTTAACTACCATAAGCCACTGGTAGCATCAAAAATTCCTTTGGTCATGGCCATAAGCCACTGTCAGCGTCACGATTGATTCAGAGGAAAACTAGTTATATATTTAAATTCTTACATTCATTTTGAGATTTTATTTTACAGAACAGGAAGTTAATTAAAAAAACAACATGAGATGGTCAGAATGTAAACAAAAAATGAATTTTTTGTCATATTTTCGTATTTTGAGGGCAGTTAGCAAGTATTTTCGTGGCAGCTAGCGAAAAGGTTACCAAAAGCAAACATACTGAAAGTGAGTTTGGAGATATGTTTATTCCATTGTAGATTTTTTCAAATTCGGAAGTCTATTATAATTTTGGTAGATATGATTACATAAATTACTAGAAGTGTAAATAATAATTAAATATTTTGGAAATTCAAAACTTGATGGCAAATTGGCAAATTTGTATAGTTTTTGGAATGCTTTTCTCTTGTAAATAATATTTTTAAAATATTAACAAAGAATTATTTTAGATTTTGCTTTACAAAATATAATTTTCCTACAAAATAGTATAAAAACCCTTTTAAAAATATCAGATTAGGATGTAAAAATATAAAGTTGTTCTCAATTTATCCAATCTATAAAGAAAAGGTAAAAAACACAACAACAACAAAAAAAACACATACACCCAAATTTGTCTTGAAAAAATATTACTATTAATACAACACAGTTACAGAATGAACTGCTACCTTAATGAACTCTTCAATCCTTCCATCATGGTACATTCCATAGGGTTTTGGGCCAAGCTTTCTCTCTGCAAGCAATGCAAAGACCACAGAGTTATGCACTAGAAAATCTAGGGTGGACTTGCTGATCTGCCCATAGATTCTTAATAAAACTTGTGTTGGCTCAGAACAGTGTGGCCTTGTGCCGTCAGGTAGAGATATCAGGTACAAATAGTTTGACATTCCACCACTGGGGAAAGGATAAATGTTCATTTGACCTGCTTAAAAATAACTCCTCTAACTTATTTATAGAAATATTACATGCAAATTAACAGAAAGTTGACAATTTCTGGAAATATTTTAATAGGATAAAATGGTCATAATGTGATCTGGTGCACTAAGAAAAAATTGTTTAATTCTAAATAATACAATATTTTTCCATTAATTTTTTTTCACCACTAAAGAACTCTTGCTATCCCTTTTTTTTTTACACTTAAAATCCTATTTTACACCAAAATAAAATAAATATGAAGACTATCCTAGCTTCAAGAATGCAAAATTTGTCAATGATTTAAAAATGGTTCTTAACTTTAAGCATTTTCACTACACTTGGAAGCTGAGTAATTTAAATTCAAGACTGAAAAAACTAACAACAGCTTTCAAAGAATAAAACTATTTACCCGACAGGTTCAATCTGAAGATCCTTATCTGATGACAGCTGAAGCCAAGCACCGCCTATAGAATCCTGACACCAGCGAAACGCCTTCCGTCTGACAAGATCATCAGTAATGATGTCTTTGCTGACCTGACCATTGACTGGCGGATCTATTCGCCTGTCGGTATCATTACCGACGTCATTATCATCAACCAAAGTGCCCGATGCATTGTGCATATTAATGGCCATCAAGTCCTGGTGAGAGTTTGGACACCCTTGCAGAGCTGTTGCCATTCTGAGTTTACCTCCTCAGATCTATTCACTTTAAGAGTACAATTTTTTTGTGGTTTTTTTTCTCTTGTATTTTTGCCAATTTTCATAAAATGGCGGCTAAAAAGAAAGAGTGTGACTTTTTTTTAACTGTGCACAGCATTTACTTGTTCGCATCCTGAAAGAAATATGTGTGTTCAAAAACAAAAGTATGAAATGCATTCCAGAACAAAATTTAATAGCACTAATAAATAGCATGATACGATTATTTTTGTAATTTATGTCACTTAAAGTTCCATGTTAAATTTTGACTTATGAGCCAAAGTTCTACAATTTTGTTTTCATTTAAAAGCATTCTGTTGGGATGCAAAGCACGATGGTTGTGATTATTCTTCCAAAAGAATTTGGCTGTTCATTATTTTACAGTATTGAGAGTGACTGAGGGGGATTTTTTAAAATGTGTTTGGTAGCCCTTAGGAGGCTTAGTATAGGTCTACAGATTTTCAAAAAATTAATTATTTAGCAATCAGTGACATTTTGGCTTGAAAATATTTTTAAAATGTCTCAAATGAAAGTTTTAATAGTTTAAAATTGTTATCTTAATCAGAATGTTTCTGTCCTGTTTTTATTTGGTATGATAAAAGGTGTACAATACAATGTTATGAAAACAAATATTTATAAAATAAATTTATCTTAATTTAAAAATTTTTACCAGTTATAAGTTATAAAGATAATCAACCTATATAAATTAATCAAACAGCTATAAATTTCAGTTTCAAAGTATTTGTTGTCACAAATGTGCATCAACAGTTTTTAAAAATGTAGCATAGAATACAATTAACATTTCATTGCAGGTAGTATCATTCTGGCAAGTTAAAGTTTGAACTATGAGTAGTAAGTTACAGTAATCAATTAATTATTTGACCTAAAGTTGGGCAATCCTTTGAAGACCGGTCCCAAATTATTTCGTTTGAAAAAAATTGCAATGCACAGTGTGTATTGTTAGAAAACAGCAGAAATGTCAGTCATAGCTTTTGCAAAATAACTGGCACTTCACAAACCAGTCAGTAAATACTAAATGTTGTCATTGGTGCATAGCATTTGCAAAGAGCAGCTGAAAACGTTCTGAATGTGACAGCTGCACCACTGAAAGGCCCCCCAGTAGCTGGAAAACAGACTGTGACTAGTACCACTCTGATATCGGAGTTTACATTTCACTTGCATCCAAAGTCCTTCAATAGTTTCTGTGTGAATGAGCTGGTCTAATGAGAATCAACAAATTCATGCGCATGCAAAAATCCTGTTGTTGAGCTGACCGACATTTTGATATCCTCGCCAAGCCTCCGTGACAATAGTTGTCCCTGGTAACACGTGGTTAGTGATAATGCACTCGAGTGTTTGTGCATCTCGACGGCCAACATCATCCACTACCGCAAACATGAACTTCAAAGAAAATGATACCTAAGACTTTTAAGCAAGGAGTAATCATTGGAAATATTTTGGGACCGGACTTCGGAGGATTGCCCAAAGTTGTATAGGCTGTAAAGTGTAAAGTATAAATATATAAATATGTACCTAGGCTAATTATGTGCTATACCGTACCAAGGATATATGGCACCCTTGGCAAGAACTAGATGCTAAAAATGCACCTCTTCTATCAACCTCCCATTTTTTACCTCTCCCTCCTACCCTCTAGATGCATAATAACGTTTATGGAGGGCCCTTATTTTTTAATTGTAATTAGTCAATTAGTCAGTGACATCTGTTAAGTCAAATGAGTGTAGTGATTCACATCATATCTGATAATACTGGTGTTTTAAAATTTAATTTGGCCAAACATGAATGTTGAAGAATGAATAATTGTTAATAGTCCTATATTTATAATTTTTTATAAGATAAATAATAATAATATGGCTATTACTATTAATAACTATTAAATTAATTAGTATTAAAATTAGGCTATCCTTTAGACTTATTTATAATTTATAAGCCTAGGCCTAACTACATAAATTAAAATGAAATGAATATATTGATATTATGTTATAATTAGATTAATGTGGCCTACTAAATAATAATAAGTAAGAGTAAGAGTAAATAGGCTAATACTAATAATTTGGACTTGACAGAGTTCACTCAGACTAGACTCAATTAGTGTCTTTCATCAATCGCACAGTATCAATTAATTTAACACTAAGTCACTAAGGACAGTAAGGATAATCCACCAGCTCCTTCAATGAAATTGAAATAGATGATTCTAGTTATTTAAGTTAATTGAATTTGAATTATGATAGTCCGATTGAGTATGTATATATTATGGAAATCATAAAAGAACTAGTTAATTACAAAAATGAATGAGTAACCAAACACGCGATTCCCGGCTGGTCCGTTTCTATTCTTCAGAAACAAAAAACCTCAAACATCCCAAAACAGAAAACACAAATAAAATGTGTCAGCGATGGACTCAAAGATAACGAACTCACCTCGAAAAAATAAAGAAAGAAAGAATAAAATACGTTTACTACCACTTTTGCGCTTGAGCTAACGCAAAAAGATGTGCTGTTTCCTCCATTGTTTACTGAGGGTAATTATTAATATTCAACGTGAAACATCAGACATAAAATAAAAGTATTTTCTCGACACTCTTGTTTGACCTTTAACCTGCTCAACGACGGTAACGTGGTTAGTGTTAAAAATACATTGGCAACGCAAAATGATGACGTCATTAAAGGTGGATTTATAGACAGATTTGCTAGAGAATTTAAATGTATTTAAGAGAATGACAGAATTTCATAATGATAAAAGTCTCATAAACAATTATGTCATTCATAATAAATAAAATAAAGTATAATGGTGAAAACTTTATTCAGATAAATAATATTTTATATAGGTTGTTTTGAGTAGTCCACTGGATTCCACTAAAACACCACCATCCCCACGAACACTACGCCTACAGCGGATCCACTGTAGATAAGCAGGACACGTATCACGTGACTTTTAGAGATCTTAGGCCCACCCCCCAGCGAATTTTCTGTTTTGACCCCACCCCCACCCCTTTTTTCCCTGAATTCAAAGTTGATACTTTAATTATTGTTTTTCCACATCAATACTTAGGGTCCTATCATAATTATTCGAGGCCCAAATGTAAACACGGGTGTTTTAGGGCTCACGCCCGCGACGCCTCTGACTGCATGCACCACTAAAGTCTAGGCCCTTAGTCAAGGACCTCAAATTCTCGGGCCACATTCGGCCTGCAATATGATTTGCATTACAAATCACTATATAAATATTATTTAATTTATGCATTATATGACATTATAACTTTTTTATAAATAGCATCGAACGTTTGCAACAGTAGTTATAATTTTTTTTTAATGAAGATGCATAGATCCTAACTTTAATTAGTTTCAACTGAACAGAGGCGTAGCTAAGGGGGGGGGGCAGGGGGGGCCAGATGTCCCTGGGCGCCAGACTAATAAGAGGCGCCAAAATGTGCTTTGATATTATTTTATTTATATTGATGAAAATAATGGGTTTGAGCGTTGAAAAAAGAAATGGAGGCTCTTTAAAATGAATCTTGTCCCCGTGCACCAAACACTCTAGCTACGCCTCTGCAACTGAAGCGTTTGAATAATCTCACTACACCATTTAATAATGAAACAAGCGCCCCTTGTAAATTGGCACCAAGAAGCTCTGTGTTAGAGAGTACACGCGGAGAATGCTCGACTTGGTAGCACCGGGAAGTTTTGCAACGTTGCCATTGACCAATTCGATTGTGACTGACATGGTCACAGCCAGGGCCGTGCTAAGGGGCGAGTCAGGGGCCGCCAAAGTCGTCTTTGGGTAGGATCTATTTTTAGGGAACTTAACTATAAAATGCCATTAACACAAAGACAAAGGGGCGCGGGGCACCCTATTCGTATTTTTTTTTTTTTTTTTTTTGCAGGTCCTCCCCGGACGGTTCTTTTTTTTCTTCTTTACATTGGTGGGGGCCATTTACCGGCATCGCCGTTCTTTTTTTTCTTCTATACATTGGTGGGTGCCATTTACAGGCATCGCCCCTGACGCCGATTTTCTTCGGCACGGCTCTAGCCGTGACCGACAGTTCTAGTGGGTCATGCCCTAGCCATAGCTTCCAACTGCCTGAACTAGTACACTGAGTCATTCTTCTCTGTCTACACGCCTACAGTTGTTTAAATTACACATTTTAAAAAAAAAATTAAAACAAATTGTATCGGTTAAATCTGCAAATGAGAACCGGAAAATACTTCATCTCGTTTTTAGGGAACATATTTTAATTCGAGCACGGATTTTTTTTTTTTTAAATGGCACGCATATATATAATCTTTAATGCCATTTTAAAAGCCCACTACTGCCTGCGGCTACAAATATATTTTATTAGGAGTTATAATTTATCAAATGACTACCGACTATAAAACCTTAGCCCAGTGGTCGGCAAATCGCGGCTATTTGGCGACCTGGGTGCGGCCTGGCCAGTCGGCCACAAATCGGTTTTGACTCCGAAAAACATGGTTCTTTACAGGTCCTTGGAAAGAAATGGGGCTTAAAATGTTATTTTATCGTCATGCTGTTGATTTTTGGCTCTTTTGACTAATGAGTTTGCCAACAACTGCCTTAGGCCACACTGCCCTCGTGTAGGTTTCATTTTGAGTACACCACCCAGCCCCACCCCCCACCCCCCTGACGAAAGAAACACTAAATGAAGTTCACTAATCTACCATAGTTAAAATCATCAGCTTAAGTATAATATGTCTATACATTTATTTCTAACTTGATTCAATCGTATTTTTAGATAATCACAGTAAAAAATATTGTTTTGGGGATCTTTAACTTGTGGGTGTGGGGGACATTTTACATATGGAATAAGCTACGGTGATTGTTTTAGAGACGCACCAGCCTAAAGTCCCGGCCGGCACCAACCTTAGCTACGCCACTTAGTGAATTATTTGTTTCTTTTTAATTTGATGTAATTATTATAATGAAAGTTTTTTTAATTTTCTAAGTCTTTTTCGGATAATCATTCACAATTTTTACTTTTTGCGAAGACATTCATTTTTTATCAAATCTGCAAGAAAGTTTTGCGGGCCGGATTAAACGTTTCAACGGGCCAAATTAAACGTTTCAGTGGGCCGCATGTTGCCCTCGGGCAGTCAGTTGTCCTACCCGGAATGCAATAATGAGACATAGGCCTACTTGAAGTTTGTTTTAGCTAGATCAGCATACAACAAAGACTGGTGTTGTCTGTGCTTCCGATAACTCCTTCCGTTTCTGTTTCTCTGAAAGGTCACAATTTTAAATTATCCTTCCGATGTGTGTCTTTAGACTCTATGAAGATGCTCTTTATATTATTAGCACTGGTAAAACATAAGCAGAACAAAGACATCGATCCTCCCGCCAACGGCTCGGCCCTGTATTACGATGTGAGGGATCCACTGTTTAGTGCGGTCGTGTACCCTTTGCTGCTGTCGGGTCCAATATGACAGATTGAGTCGGAACAATTAAGAAAAACGTATTGTTTTTAAAAAAATATTTGTTTAGTACATATTCAATGTGCCCCCAACCCAATAATATTATTTTCTCCAATGAAAATTGTTGTGTGTCCAATCTCTGGGGATTACTGCATGGGATCATAAGATCGATAACCTTACTGTTAGTGTAGAATACAATGGTACACGGTGCATGCCTTTTTTATTGTGACAGCACACAGGCGGCTGGTAAAATGCCTCAAGGTGATTGGACGGTGGTGCGGGAAGACAACGTCATGGCCAACAATTTCTCATCCTGTCGTCTGTCAAAGGTCTAAACCAGACAGTGGAGCCTCGAGGGAAGTTCTCGAGCACAATTAATCCATAAACTATTTATCCATAAATTACACGGCTTTATTGAAATGCACTTGCATGGTTTTTTTTTAATGATTTGTATCAGCTAAAACAACATTTTTTGGGTCACATGATATTAAAACTAAAAGTGCATTATGGTACAAAAAATGAAAGCGCACAGTCAAATGCGCACAAGACAAGCACGCACACGACGAACTAACTTGAACGTTGAAACCAACTCAAATAAAAAATTATTTAAAAAAAAACAACAAAAAAACATGTAATGAAAGGGGAAGTAAGTAAGTTTTGTCACAAAAAAATAAAAATGACAGTTTCGATGAGAAACTAAACTGAAAGATTGCAGTTATCAGACTTTCCAAACAAAAAACCGGATGAAGAAACGAAATGGTGTGGCAAGCACAATTCATTCTGATGTAGCTGTACTGTAGCTGACAACATTGTTCTGTCTTTGTTGCGTTGTTGCTTTGTGTGGCTCTTACGTCAATAACTGAGGCTGTTGCAGTGAGAGATGGAGAAAAGACAGGGTGGGACAAAATGAGAGAGAGAGAGAGAGAGAAAGAGAGAGAGAGAGAGAGAGAGAGAGAGAGAGAGAAGCGTTTATGAATGAGAGAGATGAGAGGTGAAGAGACAGAAATAATTTCGTAACATTAATAAAAAGAAAAGAGGGAGAGAGAGAAGGAAAAAGTGCACATTTGAGAGGGAAAGATAGGCAGAGAAAGAGATAATGATAAAGACATGTTGAATGAAATTATATTTATACATTTCCACCTATCAGTATATAGAAAGTTGGACCTTCAACAACTAAAAAATAATAACTTAAATTTATTAATGAAGTCAACGTGAAGATAACTAGCGTAACAAATAAAAACATTCTTTTTAACAACTGTAACATCTGTAAGATATCCTAGCTGCCTTTAGGGGCCTAATGTTACTATCCAATGCAAATAACAGTCCCATCCCTAGATAGTGTCGGTAAGCTTATAGAGATATCTGCCATGCTGACTGAAGAGCAAGGTAAAATACTAGGAACTATACTTATTGAAGAGCAAGATAAAATACTAGGAGCTATACTTACTGAAGAGCAAGATAAAATACTAGGAACTATACTTACTGAAGAGCAAGGTAAAATACAAGGGACTATACTTACTGAAGAGCTAGGTAAAATACTAGAAACTATACTTACTGAAGAGCTAGGTAAAATACTAGGAACTATACTTACTGAAGAGCTAGGTACAATACTAGGAACTATACTTACTGAAGAGCTAGGTACAATACTAGGAACTATACTTACTGAAGAGCTAGGTACAATACTAGGAACTATACTTACTGAAGAGCAAGGTAAAATACTAGGAACTATACTTACTGAAGAGCAAGATAAAATACTAGGAACTATACTTACTGAAGAGCTAGGTAAAATACTAGGAACTATACTTACTGAAGAGCTAGGTACAATACTAGGAACTATACTTACTGAAGAGCAAGGTAAAATACTAGGAACTATACTTACTGAAGAGCTAGGTAAAATACTAGGAACTATACTTACTGAAGAGCAAGGTAAAATAATAGGAATTATACTTACTGAAGAGCAAGATAAAATACTATTTCCTCATATCTCATACTATTTGAATACCTCATTTCTGACGCATAAGCCTATAACTTTTAATGAAGCCCGCATTGGGATTGGTTAATTGTGTGGGAAAATGTACGTTTGATCAGTCATCCTTGAATGAAAATCGGTTGGGCCGAGCAGCGCGTGTTCTGTGAAAAACGCAATTTTTCAATGTGGTGTCACCG